TAAAAAAATCGCCGTAGGACTTCAAGGAATTCAACTAGATCCATATCCATCTGATTATAATATTGCAGCTTTATGAGTAGAGTTATAAATTTAAAGTTTTGGGCATAAACCTGTTTAGAGCAATACGCCGAATATTTTCAGTTTTTTTGATTTTATGATTCAATTTGTTATAATGGCTGTTTTTTTGGTCCATTTTGCATTCTTGCGTAAGATTTAGGGGCACTATATGAAGCAGATTTAAGGAAAGCAGAGGAATTTCAGCTTTTACCGGAAAATTTTAGGTTTTACCGAAGAATTTTAGGTTTTACGGCGGGATTTTAGGCTTTTCGGCAAAGATTTTACGAGATTTTCCACTGTTTTACCCGGGAAAATGTTAAATTTTTCGGGAATTTTAAATGTTAAATTGTTTTAGTCCCTTAAATCAATGTAAAATAATTGTTAGAGCGTGAATATTATGTGAGTATAATCTAGAATCCATTACGTAATCTATTATATAAGCTGCAAGATGGAACAGGTTTTTGGGGTGATGTTCTCTGGGCGGTGAGCAGTTAATTTCAGGTAATTTTTCGAATAATTACGATCCAGTAATTGCATCGTATCCAGTCATCGCTAATTGCTATTGGATACGAGATCCGGATTAATGGAAGCTGTTTTCACTACGATTCCAGGATACTAAATTTGAACTTGCTGTGAAATTTTAAAAACCTAAAATCTAAAACCTGAAATTGAAAAAAAAATTCAAATAGCCTAGCGAACCAACCAGCTTGTTCGGTGTCAACTAGCGGTACAGGAGCCGCGTTCACGTAGGCCCAGAAAATCAGGCCTAGAGCCACAGAAACTGATCCGATCGTGGACATTGATCGATGTCTGATCGATAGGTGATCGATTTTGAATCTATATTCAGTGGATTCACTTCACTGCGTATCCTCTTTGATCACTTGTAGTGATTTAGTTTTGCTGACAATTTGGTGATGCTTTCGGATGCTTTTTCACGTCGACACTTCAGTAGTTTTTGAAAAATTTCCTCCGATATTCCTCAAAAAAAATCGCTGAAACAGTAATAANATAACTAGTAATAGTAACTAATAACTAGTAATAGTAACTAATAACTAGTAATAGTAACTTTTCAGTCCACTAAACATGGAAGTTTTATTTTGGAAAGGTAAAAATCAACCTTTCCCCAAAATTTTTACAAATTTTATGGGAAATGTTACGGGGATTTTAGTTGGGAACATGGGGAATTCAAATTAAATGGGGAATTGAGATTTTTATGCGGGAAACAGATTGTTTTTCCGTGGGAATTTTAAGTGTTTTGTATTAATCCAATGCAATTTTGAGGCTTACTTGCTCCAAAATTTTTTGCGCAAAGCAAAATTTATGTATTCGAATGGGACCCTTTCCTTTGAGATTTTAGGATGTGAAGCAATAAATTCGACTTGATGTTGAGTGTGTGTGTGTGCGTTTTAGGATGAGATGATCGTGTGGTTATCTGGAGCAATCCTCCTTAATCTTATCGTTCAGCAGCAGTAGGTGGTGGTGCTTCCTTTCGGGGGGTTTTGAAGGCGCACACTAACCGCCTTTTTTCTGAATTTGAAAAAAATTTTTTTAAAAATTATTAGCTGATCTGAAATTATTAGCTGATTGATATTGATTGATCAAAAAACCGCGTGAAAATTCGCTGAAAACGACACGTAATAACACGTCAGCCTCACGTGAGCCTCACGTGAGCTTCACGTAAGCCTCACGTACAGAACACGTAAAATTTAAGCTTAAAACACCAGATGTCCCAGATATTTCAGTTTCTAAATAATTGGATGAATCGATTGAAAACTAAAAAATTGCAAGATTTGGACTTTTTTTGAGATTAAGGGATATATCTTAAAGATTTTATCCCTTTTATCCGGGACTGGCCGCTAAACCTAAAACTGAACACGAAATATCAAGCATACAGTATGATAACAGTATAAAATCTTCTATATAATATAGCTGGCAATAAAAAGTAATAGTAATAATAACAGTTTAAAAAGAGTAAAAGTAACAAAAGTAAAAAGTAATAAAAGTAATAATAATAAAAATAACAGTAATAATATTAATAGTAACAGTCATAGTAATAGCAGTATGAATAACGGCGAGATTCGAGTAAGATTTTCGGAGATTTGGCCGCTGTTTTGATTGAATAGAATCGATGTTGATCGATACAGTACTTTTGATGATCTGTTGACGTGTCTGTCGTCGAATATGAATAGCAACATGCAGTTGTTGCATGCGTACAGTCAAATTCCCACAAGAATTACCCACTTTGTTGAAAATTTCCCAAGCAATTTGCCCGGGAAATGTAGAAGCTTCCCATTGGTCTGATTTGAAAGCGACACACACGTCACCAAGAATAAGAATGGGACGGGGCGTATCCTGGAGATTAGATCCAGGCCTCGGATCAAGCCAGCAGTTCAAGCTCCAGCTTGCGAGCTCCCTGCAAGGACTTTAGAGACCTCGGAGACCTCCACGACCCCGAAATGGCCGCTTTGGCGAGAAGATGCCGAATCCTGAACACTAAACCACGATCACGATCACGATCACGAATAAGAATCCATGCTCTCCAGCTACGCATCAAGCTTAAGGCCAGGGCCAGCAGCCCGACAGGCAGGTAGTTGAGCCAATTCATACCCGGATCATATCTAAATCAAAATCAAGATCAAGGCACCAAAATCTCCACTAATCCCATCTAAACCAATCTGATCCCTCCTAAATCTCGATCGATCTCACCTAAATCTCGATCAACATGTCAAGATATCAAGATATCAAAAGTTGATCGAGAGTCAAGTCAAGACAAGTCAAGGCAAGGCAAGGTACAGCAATCCAACCAACTGCCTGCCTTCCAACCTGCCCTCCAGAGCCATCCATCGGATCAGCCACACCACACCTCACCCACCCAACCGTCCACCATCGACCACAGCACACCATCTGAGCCGTGCCACCAACCCAACCCAGTATCTATATAAACCCATGAGCATGACTACATCCTCCATCCTCCAT